TTTTTTTTTTTTTTTTTTTTTTTTTTTTTTTTTGACATAACTTTCTGTTGAAGCTGTTCTTTGGCTGGTTGGTTTTAGTACTGTAAACTGCTTCTGAGCAAACACAGAAAATTAGCAAAATTATGTAAACTTGATCCTGAAGTTTTAGAATGACAAATAAATGTACAATTGTTTACATAACAAATGGCTAAGCAGAAAGTAAATTTCAGTATGTCAGTATAGAGGCTCTACTTTATGTAGACTTAAATTAATGTGAGATATGTACCTTCATATTCAGAAATCTGGATGTTTCCTTCATACATTAAACTATTAATAAGCATAACTTTTCTACTTGTGTAATTTAAGTACGTTGTGAAAAAAAACCCAACGGGCATTATCAGAGGGCTTTTTCCAAATGTGTGTTGGATCCTTTTGAGAAGGCTCACATCAGTTGTAACCAGATATTAAGCGTTCCCGTTTTCCTTCTGTGAAAGGCTTTTCAGCAAAAGGGGCCGGAGAAAACAGCCTTTGGGCACGCTCAGAGTCGTCTCCACGCCAAACTCCCCTGGTAAAGGGGGAAAATGTATCATGCTGCAGCATCTATTAAAAATTATTCTTACAGTTGGGTGGTGGCAGCAAGGTCTGTTCTGTTCCACGAGTGCTCCCAGAGCTTCTGTTCCTCTGGCTCCTTCCTTTGCCTACGGAAGTCGGAAGGCACACCCTTGGGGCGTGTCAGTTCGAGCATGAGACCCTTGGCTTGCCGTTTTGGCAGAGCTTCACTTGATGGAAAGGGTCTCCAAAGGACGGCTTATTTCAGAAGAAGTGGCTTTGTTCTGGCAGACGACGTCTCGCTCCAAGCTGGGTCGCTGCCCCGCCAAGGCTGATTTGGAAAAGTGAGCGTTGCCGGTGGGAGCTGTCGCCGCCTTCGCTTACGGTTGCGTGGGGTGAACAGCCGTGCCGGGAGGCGAAGCCTCGGGGCCCTGCGGGGCAAAGACTCGGTCCATGGCGCCGGGCAGCTCCAGCCAGGATCCCCGAACAGTTTGTGTACGTATGGCTTAAAGCAGATCTACAAGTCAATGTGTTTTTGTGCAGGACAAGCGAGATGTGTTGCTGGTTACTCTGCCTGGAGGAAGGCTGAAGGCAAGCTTGCCTTCCTTGCCGCGTGACGGGGAGTCACCCCTTCTGTTGTAAGCTACTGTCCCGAGAGATACAACCCGGGGAAGAAGAATCCCAGATGAGTTAAACAGGCTGCTGTGAAGGCTGGAATTTAAGAAGTGCTGGCTTATATTTATTCTGGTACTCATTTGAAAGCCAGAAGGAAAACCACTCGTCCACAGAAACCCCACTGCCTTTTAAATACTGTGGTGTTTCTGAGGTGGCCAGAAGGCTTGTGCATACTGGTGCCCATGTCCATGCCCTTCCGGGGTGCTCTCAATCTAAGTGAAGTCCTTCCTCCCGCTGGCTGATGACCTGAAACAGAGCCTAAATAAGTGGTTACAGCACAAGGGAGAGCACACGGATGAAAGGGTAAGAAAAATTGATGGGAACCCCCCCTTTCAGCACCTTACTGGGGGGGGGAGTGGTGCCCTTGGCTCTGCCCTCTGACCTGTACCCCTCCACGCTGATTTTAGGCTTAATGCTTCAGTGCTGTTTAGGATTATTTGCGTTCTTACTCTGAAATAATCCCACAAAAGGGTAAGAAAAATTGATGGGAACCCCCCCTTTCAGCACCTTACTGGGGGGGGGAGTGGTGCCCTTGGCTCTGCCCTCTGACCTGTACCCCTCCACGCTGATTTTAGGCTTAATGCTTCAGTGCTGTTTAGGATTATTTGCGTTCTTACTCTGAAATAATCCCGCAGGGCACCAGTGCTCCGCGTTTCCTTGCAGCCGTGAATTCCCTGGCACAGAGCAAGTTTGGTGCCGCTTTTCTGTTGACTTGAAAAATCCAAGTGGGCCCAG